TACATTATCTCAATATTACAAGTGTGGGTAAGTAACATAACAAAGGTGACTAAGTGAATCGAGCGCTAACTTTGTTTCCCACATATATACCCTACACACGTACGTAATAATTACAGCTTTACACAACACTGTAGTAAACAATAACGCAGGTAATATGTTTGTATTCTTCTACAACCAACCGTGGCAGCATTTATTCGTTATTATACATCAGCTTATACTCCTATACAGAGGCCTGCCCAACAGTTTACTGTGGTGAGATGGGTGCTTGAGCTGTGTGGTGCTTCGATGACTCTATAGGCGCCTAACTACGTTAGGATAAGCTTATGGGGCGATTTCCCCATCCGACCGTTGTTCATTAGCGTCCTATTTGTAAGTCTCTCCATATCTCAATTACCCTCACCCTTAGCAAACCATAGGCCGCTACAGTCTTATATACACATACAAGTNTATATATATATATACATCTAAAAAGATACAAACCTTTCACATAATATATGTAAATAAGCATACTTTCATATATAATAGATACGTCTATGTTTAGTTCGCATAGTCATCATATCAATAAACATTTTAAAAAACTTGATAAGAATTGTTTTTGTTAATCTCAAAATTTCCAAGTCAATGAAATCGACACGCGCTGAAATTTCTCATGTCACGAACGGGCGCCTCCTTATTCGTTAACCAGAGAATAATCCACGCAGTTGCTGCTTGGCGGCGTTTGTTAGTAGCGGCCCTAACGGTGTGGAACCGTCGCCTGCAAAATAATGATGCGAAATTCAGTAAGCGTTTCTGTGAGTTCAATGAAAATGTGAGTGTTGGCAATGCAGGCTATATAACACGGATTAAAATAAGTAGTATGATTTAATTACTTACGAACACCAATATAATTATGAAAAAATTGATATACGTGACAAGGGATTTTTACTTGATGCGAGTAAACTCAGTTATTCTCAGTCAATGTAGCACACGCGCTTTCTCTAATCAGCGTAACAAACGGCCAACACTAGTAGTTACGGTTGTCTCTAAATATTCAAAATGCACGGACCGTCACGTGGATTCATGTGTATTNTTCTCAGGAGCTAGTACTCCTTAGGTGGCGTCTGACCACGCGTGTGGGGAACGCCCATTTTCGTTGGGTATTTATCGCCATGAGCTTGGCGCACAGATATACTTCTATAACAGAGAGCGCCCCTGCTTAGGCACCAGTTCCTCCAAAGTATAGAATAATATGTCTCTAAATTAAGCATATGGAGACTATACGCTTGTGCTTAGGCTATATCGGTAAGGCCGCCATGTTTGCGTCTACTGGGCGTTGTCACTGTGACGAAAATACGTATATACAGGATTGCTTTGCTCAGGAGGTCGCTTCTGGGGATGGGGGGTCCGGCTCGCCATTCGTATCGTTCAGGCCGCCATGTTTGCGTCTATTAGG